GTACTAGCTAGAATAGGTAGATTAAAATTAAAATATCAAAATATTTTACAAAATAAAAAATATAGAAAACAGTTTTTTGAATAAAATGGATTATGATCTTAATAACGAAAATAAAGAAGTCTTTTTTTTTTAATATGCATTTTATTTTAAATCTATTTTATATTAAATAACGATAAACAATGATAAATAATAATTAATATTTGGTGGAAGCCCCATTCTTGTCAATACAATTTTGCAGTCTTCTGTTCATAGATAGCACCAATTACCTCATGTTATAATTAACAAGCTCTTCCCATGCCTGCTCAATTGCTTCCCATAATTCAATTCTATTCCGTAGTCTAAGGTTTCTTTCATTTAGTTTCTTTGTTAACTCTGCCCACACATTTTCGACGGGGTTAAAGTCTGCACTACGGGAAGGCCACGGAAGAACATTAACATCATTTTCTTCTAGCCATTCTCGAACAATTCTACTCGTATGCACCGGGCAATTGTCATGTTGGAAGATAAAGTCGTTGTTGGGGAATCTCTGGATCACCGATGGCAACATTGTGTGCTCAATAATATGTTTGTAATATAATCCTGTTAACTTCTCCTCTACATGATAACAAACGCCCGGGCCTTCGGCACTTATCCATCCCCATACGTTGACAGAGAATCCTCCACTATTTCTTAAATGATGCGTATACTGTTCATCATACCTATGATTTCTCGGCCTATAAACTCTTATTCGACCATTATTATACGACTGAAATACTTTTTCATCGGAAAATACAACCCTAGACCAAAAATTCTCATCGCGGTTTATAAATTCATTACAAAATTCAACTCGTCTCCTCTTGTGATCCTCAGTCAAAAAAGGTTTCCGTGCAGCTACACAATTTAGCAGTCCACTTGCTTTAATTCTTCGACGTGCAGTGCGAATACTGCCTGGAAACGCTGCCTCTTCTCTTGCCTTTTGAGCTGTGGCAAAAGGAGATTCTCTCAAATAATCTACTAACATCTCATCCTGTTGATCTGTGGAAATCTTCTGCCCTCCTGAACCGCCCAACCGTGCTATAGAGTGAAAATTATCCCATCTTTGTTTAATCTTCCATATGCACATATGACTCACGTTCAAATCAGCAGCAACTTGCCTTAGTGACCAACCTTCTTCGAGTTTGGCAATTGCTCTTGCTTTTTGCGCATAATTCAGATGTATTCTAACCATTTTGGAAGAGTTTAATATACTTTTATTTTATTGTTGAACACTCGCGAAAGCATTGACGTTTTGAAATTTTTTGACTTTGACATTTATCAAATCCGTACGACACTGCAATTTTACAGTATTACAATATAAAAAGTAAGGTGTAAACTATTCCGTGACCGCAACTGTACCTATTATATTTGCCTTTATGCTTTTTAACGATTAAAAGTTGCACTTTTAACAGCGTTTCTTCAAAGGGAATGTTTTTTGAACGAAGCCAATTTTGTATATCTGACTTTTTTAGCCATAATGGGAATTTTTTTCAATTTTCTCGAATGGTAAGGAGCATTGTCCATCACAATTACGGCATTTTTTTTCAGTGTTGGTAAAATCTGTTAAAGACAGCTTTCAAATAACTTCCCAACCATCTCCTCATAGTAGATTCCACTTTTGCTCGATTCAAAAGCCCACAGTACATCCAGAACAAAACCATTTTCACTTCCGATGTGACAGATTACCTATCTTTTACATTTTCCTTAAATACATCGCACATTGAAATCAAAAGTGGCACTATATAAAAAACTCAATTTTACAGTATAGCTGTTTAAAGTTTTTTAACATGATTTTTATGCCCAGACTTAAAAATAAATTGAAAACAAGAAATGTGATTAGTTTTAAATAATAATTTAATTATCTCTTTTTCAGTATAAAATAACTTTTAAATAAATTATATAGTGTTTGTTGAAAAAAAAGGTATTTGAAAAAAAAAAAAATCAGTATAGTGTCACTTTTGTTTTATTTTTTTTTTATACAATCAATTATTTTTTGTTTAATGGCATATTTAATTCATTAACTCTTCTACTATTCTACTACTCCAAAAGATTAAATGAATGTCAGGAATAAAATAAAAACTAATTTTAGATGAATAAAGTATTTATTTGTAAGTATGTACTACAAAAGAAAGTCTTACTCGAATCAGTCACTACAATATTACGCAATGTTTTAATTAAAATACAATATTTTAAGACTATCAAAATAAACTAAGAAAATAAACGAATTGTAACAAAAAATGCAAATAGGCATTTGTAAAAATGTGATAATACTTAAGAGCTATTACATTTTCAATTAAAAATACTTTCATAGTAGGATCGGTAATATCCAGGAATCAACCCCGCATCCACAAGACTCCTCACGCCATTTTTCGTCCTTTCGGATATATCCCATTTTTGGTGGTACAATGGTTTAAGTTCTTGAGGTCGGCTGTTTCTGGATGTTCTTTTTGCCAAATCAAGTTCCTTGAAGTCATCAAAATAAAACGTTTTTATAGAATATTTTAATCTCATTCGTTACGTTCTTTTCAATTTTAATGACTTTTATATCAAACAACTTTACAACCGCACCATCAACACTACTATTCAGCTTAATAACTGGCAGTTGTTTATCCATATAATCTTCGTATCCCATCTCATTTACAATGTACGGCGTCCCACGTTTTTTCGAACTTCTGATGGCACAGACGTATTGGGAAGGTACGTAAATGTGTCCAGATTTAAGACTTTTTTTACTTCCTTCTCAATCGTTGAATGTACTGCGTCCCCTTAATTTTGTGTGTGGCCTCCGTTTAAGAACTTATGGGTTATTAATTTTACTTTGAGATTTAATACTGCATAGACGTACATTCCAATGATAAACTGGTTCTTCTGTTGGCCACAGCAGTTATCAGAATAGAACACTATATCAAGATCTTTATTAGCGAAAGAAAACTTCTTTTGTAAAAACTTCAAAACATAGCTACCTATTGCATTGGCTCCACGATTGCCTTAAGATTCATCCCAAAAGTAACATTCAATATTGTTTGTTTTCAACTCCGATATGGTAAAATTCAAACAATTTATTTTGGACTTATACTTAATAGAATGTTGATACGTCTCCTTTAGGAATCGTCATTACCGCTTGTAAGTCATAGCATGCAACGATAAAACAATCTGTCACTTTCTCTTTGTCACTAGCTGTTTTTCTTCGCGACTTTTTTGTTTTCTGCTAAATGGCGGTCATAATCTTCCTTCAAAGCTTCTTTTCTGGAATCTTCAGCCAGTTTATAATATATATTGTGCATTGTTCACATTGGTCCTTTTTAGGTACGACCAAACTAATATTAAATTCTTTAAATATGTATATTAAATGTCGGATAATACTTTAAATGTCGATGTGTAATATCCTAATTATCTAATTAAATATACATTTTTAAATAAAACAATGACACTTTACTTAAAATGACGTCTATTTAATATGGCAATAAATTAACAATATGACATTTAAACCCCAAAAATGACACTAAGCACAATTATGCCCCTTATTTATTCTATATAAACACAGTTATCTAGAATAGTTGAGTAAAATATCGGCACTTTACAAAATATGCCAATAACGAAATCATAATTTGTTGTATTTTTACTATTAAGTAATTAAAAAAACGACATTATACAAAATATGTCACTTTTTCACTCACCTCAGCTAAGACTCGTTGCGGCGGCTGGACCTTTACTGGTTTAGTGTCGGTTTATCGGTCACGACCCATGCTCGCGACAACAAAGTAAGAAGTGACATTAGCGACGTCTACAGAAAACCGAGCGAGCTATTACAACGGAGATCTTTGCAACAGACGTAGTTTTGCTCGTAGATTTTAGATGTCGCTGTAACTAAAAACCACCGAATTTTGCATAATGCCACTTTTGATTTCAATGTGCGACCATATTAAAGATGATATTAAAAATATATAAAGTTTATTTTAATTTGAATTACCTGAGGGATTTTTAAGCCTGTTGACAGCCCATTAAAAAATTTACGTCTTGCAAAAGTCATAGAAGTGTCCACCCAAACTTTTGATTTTGAATGGCCAGCATTTTTCCATGTTTCGTCCAAGTAATATATTGTTCTATTTTTAGCTCTATATTGTCTTATATTTTGCCGATAGTCCTTTCGCCATAGTACAATTTCATTTCTGTCGAGTAGTAAACTGTTTCCTCAACGAAACTTCATTAAGGAAGAAATATTGATGAAACTTTTTTCTAATAGCTGACTTATCAAAATCATCTACAGCATACATTGATTTGAAATGATTTTAATTTGTTTTAGGTGCAGATAATGTGTGGGTATTTTTATTCTCTTAAATGACATTGAAGACACCTTTCGAATAAACTACAACTTTATCTGCAACCTTTTGTTGAATGTACGTTAACGCTATGTAACGAGTCCGGCACTTCAATAATTCTTTAATCACTCTTAAATATTTCTTAGTATTTCCTAATTTTTAATTTCTAAGTTAGCTTTAGACTATATACCATAGTCTAAAGCTAACTAAAACTAACCAATAAGTAACATTAAAAAAAACTGCCTACAACTCTTTCTGATAACTAGATATTCAATATCGTTATTTAAAAATGTACATATTGTGAGGGGAAAAAGTATTAAATAAATTCATTCTTTCGAGAATCCCAAAGCAGGTCAATTTTTTTATTTTTAAATTATAATTTTTTGGCATATACACCATATTAGTGATATTATATACCTTGGTGTGTTGACATTATCGATGATTTTCTGCTTTTCATGTATATCATGCTTTATATAAGAACTCTATGGGTTATAAAACGTTTCCAAGAGTGCTTACAAAAAATACAGATACTACAAATTCCGTAAATAGTACAAAACTCTTCTATTTTTAAAGGGTAGGGTGAAGAACAAGACACCCGGAAACATATTTCCATTTAAAAAAAAAATGTATATCCAGTAGCAGGTAAGAAGAAATAACTCCAAATCATGCTTAACAATTCTCGAAAAATTTATTTTTTAAAACACTGTCACATTTTTTATCAATTGTGGAAATTTAATGGTCCAATAAAAAATGGCATCCCACTCCAAATTATTGGATTAGCTTCTAGAGAGATATTCTTAATATTTGGAACGTTAATCATGGTTTCATTATTAAATCGTGATATATTATTGTCGATCAAACCTAGATATGTCAAATTAGGTAGATTGACAAACGCCTTGGTTTCAATGTCTTCTATTTTATTATGTTCCAACTTAATATCTGAAAATAGTAAGATATTTTAGATAAAACTATTAATGTTAATAATACAAAATTTTATGTTTACTAATCTTAGTAACTTTATTATACTTATTAGTTCAGGTTTTCTATTAACCAACAAGAAAACTAAGCCTTCTCATCTTCTGAATATTTTTTTAGTATATTTAATCTAGGAGGATAATAATAAGAAATGATAGTGCATAACTTACTGAGGAACAATTAAAAACAGGACATGCCGGAACGAAGAGGCCAGTTTATATATTTCCAATAATATATTTCCATTTAAATAAATATAACAGACTATGGGACCTAAGTATGTAAATATATTCATGAACTACATAGATATACTCACATACTGAAGTATTTGCAAATAAGAAAAATTAACTAAAATACGCCCATTAAAATGCATACTCGAACTGTGGTATGTCGATATTTCCATCTTTTAATTATTATCCTCTGTGAATATCGGCAATTACATCAGTCTACATGACTTTGTTGACAACATGACAAGTGCTCTGAATAAATTCTCTGTCGTCATTCTTATCCAGTGCTTGTTAATCTTCAACCACGATGAACTTGACGTCACCGACCCAGCAGATAGGTAGGCAAAAAATATTCTCCTGAGACGTGGGGAACTATGAATAAATAGATGTTTATAGCCCCCAAAAAAATCAAAAAATACTAACAAAAAGGCGACAGCCATCCAAAAAAAAAAAATTAACAAAACAAAACAGTTTTAATTACTATTTAACTGGGAATAAGCCACAATTAAAGATAAAAATACGTTTATTGACGTTTTAATTTCCACTTCGGAAATCGCTCTCAAAATACAAACAGTAAATTAAACAAATTTTGTTTTTTGTTACATAGTGAAAAATTCTTCTAATAATTTAATTTTATCTGACTCATTTATATTGACAATTCAGACATACATTATGCATTTTAAAGTAGACGATTTTAAAATGATATTGCCAATATTGTTGAGTTACGCTCCTGGGACGACTTTACTTATAAGATAGTTCATTCGATTACATGAAATCAACTTTAACTTGAGAATATCCGCCAGAAAAAAATCATAACATGTAATTCGTCCTTAAAAAGACAAACACATGACATGATGACAGTAAAATTCTCCTGTTAGTGATTCCATAGTAAATTATGAGGGAAAAAACCAGGAAAAAACCTCATAATACTATCCCGACATTGTAAGTATTTGTTGGTGAATTTAGTTTACCTTCAACAAACATCAAAATTCTGATTTTATATGTTACGTTATTTAAAAAACATAAATGATGTATTCTCTATATGTTACAGACTTTTCTTATTAATAACTGGTATTTTCTTATTAATAACTTACTCTTTCAATATTGGTTACCAGATCCTACTATATTCTGCCAAGGAATTTGCGACACAATTGGCCTTATTTAGCATAATTAGAGCCGCTTCTTTGATTTTTTTTTTACCATCCGTTTCTTTTAGGACTACATTTGAATTATTCCATTGAACCCTATGTTTATTATCCCATGCGTGTTTACAGATTTGAGATCTATCAAATTCTTTATTTTTAATATAAGATTGATGTTCACTTATTCTAACATTTAATGGCCTTGATGATTCACCTAAATAAAACTGATTGCATTCACAAGGTATTTTATAAATGCAATTCTTTGTCCTTGTGAATGCGATCAGTTTTATTTAGGTGAATCATCAAGGCCATTAAATGTTAGAATAAGTGAACACCAATCCTATATTAAAAATAGAGAATTTGATAGATCTCAAATATGTAAACACGCATGGGATAATGACCATAGGGTTCAATGGAATAATTCAAATCAAGTCCTAAAAGAAACGGATGGTAAAAAAAGAAAAATCAATCAATCAATCAAATCAATTGTTTCGCAAATTCCTTGGCAGAATGTAGTAGGATCTGGTTACCAATATTGAAAGAGGAAGTTATTAATAAGAAAATACCAGTATTAGTAAGTCAGTAATATATAGAGGATATATCATTTATGTTTTATAAATAACGTAACATGTAAAATCAGAATTTTGATGTTTGTTGAAGGTAAACTAAATTCTGGAATCACTAACAGGAGAATTTTACTGTGATTATGTCATGTGTTTGTCTTTTTAAAGACGAATTACATGCTATGATTTTTTTCTGACGGATTTTCTCAAGTTAAAGTTGATTTCATGTAATCGAATGAACTATCTTATAAGTAAAGTCGTCCCAGGAGCGCAACTCAACAATATTAGCAATATCATTTTAAAGTCGTCTAGTTTAAAATGCATAATGTATGTCTGAATTGTCAATATAAATAAGTCAGATAAAATTAAATTATTAGAAGAATTTTCACTATGTAACAAAAAACAAAATTTGTTTAATTTACTGTTTGTATTTTGAGAACGATTTCCGAAGTGGAAATTGAAACGTCAATAATCGTATTTTTATCTTTAATTGTGGCTTATTCCCAGTTAATAGTAATTAATTTACAATGCCACAAGAAAATAGCTTCAGAACAATATAAAACAGTTTTAGTAACATATCAGCTATTGTTTGTGAGATAAAGACCATTGTTAATCTTAAAATTGACACACTGTATAGAACAACTTAAAGATAAGGTTAATAAGGCTAGATATTGTCAGGACCTGTAAGCAAATGTATCGAATGGAAAAACCAGTGCATTGCAAACGTATTTGAAATATGTAACATTTACAAAACATAATTTTAAAATACTTACCCGTAATACTACTACTATTCACAAATGTCTCCGATTTGATTCGTTTTATTTTATTATACATCAAATCTAGAATGTTTAAATTCGGTAACGTAGACAAAAACCTTACATCGAGATTAGAAATCTGGTTAAGACCTAGTCTTAGCTGCTTTAAATTATCTAAACCAATAAATGCATTTTGTTCAATAAACTCGATTTGATTGTCTACCAAAATAAGTGTTTCCAAATGGTGAAGTGTCTGAAAAGATTTTTCCTGAATCTTGTCGATGTTATTGTGCCCCAAATCTAATATTACTAAATTGTGGACGTCCTCTGAAAAGAGATTTATGAAAGCTATTACAAATATTTAAAAGATATGTAGTTAATTAACATCTATGAAACTCAAAAAATGTTTGTATAATAAGCCTTTCGTAAACATACGAACATTACGAACTTTCTGGCCATTCTCCCGTGAGAAATAAATTGCCTATCTTATCTGTACTGCATTATTACTGTGGCTTCTATTATAGCTACATCCGATAATGGCAGTGAATAAGTGAGGAAAATCGTCGCTGATTAATTAGCAATTAAGATCAGACAATATTACAAGAAACAGGCAATGTCAAATATTCATTATCCTAATAAGACTTGTACTCACATTTGAATGTAAAATATGGACACTAAGTAAAAGTTAAAAAAGACCTTTAAAAGAAAAAAATTAAGACACATATAAAACATTTGACGGTATACAAGGCAACTATCGAACACGGTGATTAATTTAATCTTGCCCAAGTACTTTCGATCAATAGATCATCTTCAGGGGCATTTCGTCAGTTATGGCCTATGCGACATAGGTAGAATGTCATAAATGTAAATTTGGATATACTAATACAAAATACAATACACAAAGACAAACAAACACTTTAAAATTTTTGAAAAGAAGAAGCTACATGTTGTATAGAAGCCGGAGACAGAATTAAATATTCTTATAATTCTTCTTATATTCTTCTTCGAATTAATTATTCGAACATTCAACCTTATATTACTATTATGAGTTTGGTTATTTAGTTTACCATTGTTTATTTTGTACATTAAAATAAGTTTTCGATGTAATATAGCGGTAAAATTAGAATGATGTCTTATCCGAAGTCACGGTAGTATATATGTCCCAATTATCGCCGTGTAGTTCTAGGGTTAATTAAAAAATTAAATCAAAAAATCCATACGGATTATAATAAAGTTCAGAACGTTTTGGGACTAGTCACTCCATCTTCAGTGAACTTTTGTAGTACCTGCGTAACTAACCGCAAAACCAAACAGTGGTTGGGTTTACATTGAAGAAAACATACTTGAAAGTATTGAATTATTCAGCAAAATGCCGATGTAATTGGAATACTAACCAGGAACCATAAATCTCTACTTGAAAAAATGATTTCTACATTCGAACTGTAGAACTAAAGTTTGCCAACTAATTGCGCTTTAGTATTCGTTTTCACTTTTGAACGTTGCTAGTTGATTCTTCCGACCGCTCCCCTTTTCATCACTTGGACATGTACTAAATAATTTTAATGATAATTAAGGTGAAAAATGCTCAGGGAGAGCTAAGTTTTTATTTTAATTTTCTCCGCCCTGTATTTTCTCTTCCAATTGGAGACTGTATTAATAAACTTGTACTGATCACGTAATTATGAAAATATGATCATGTAACTAGAAAACTTGAACTAGCTTAGAAATGTGAACAAAGATAATTTTAATGGTTTATTGCTAAAAATTATTGACTTACCTAAATAAGAAGCATTCCATTTTATAATTTGGTTAAAAGCTAAATCCAGGTTCCTCAATCGAGGAAGATTTTTAAACGCAGAATTTTCTATAACAGATATTTTATTATATATTAGATGGATCTCTTCTAATACAGGCAAATGTTGAAATGTTCCACTTTCTAACTTCTTAATCTTATTACTTTGCAAATCCAGGTATACTAATTGATCTAGTCCAGTAAATGCACTACGCTTGATTCTCTCAATTGTATTTAACTTTATTAAAGTAGCCGTATGTAATCCTTGAAAAACCTTATCCTTAAGATCTTCTAAGTTTGTTGATATTACTGTCAAATTTTTAAGTTGTTCATTTGTTGCAAAGTGTGTCTAAATTAAAAAATATAAATTAATACTTAATTAATACTAAAAATTTCTACAGCGTTTAATACAGCTAAACTTAATCTAAAAGAACAATTATTTTGAGCCTAATTCGCTTAAAACCTAATTATGGGGCAGTTGCGTACAACTCGACAAAAACTTTAATACTAAAAATTCTCGAACCAGTTCATAATTCCGCAATTAGGATAGCATTGGAAGCGCATTACACAAGTCCTATTAGTAGCATCTGCATTTTAAAAAATGGCTAAGTTATTCAAATGTCATGATTTATCAATGCCCATAAACATCAGGTTAGTACGATGTTACATCTTTCCTATACTTGAATCGAACGTTGAATCGTACGTTTTTGGGACGCAAGGCAATATACTTTCTCACAATTTCCAAGAAACTCAGTCCACTCTTCTTGTCAGTAACACAAAACGACCTTTCCTGTTTGGTTTTAGTATCAGATAATGAAACGATTATCACCGATTTTCTGTCGTCCACGTTAAACACTTCTAACTTGTACATTTCAGATCTAGTCGCTCCATGCACACCAAAAATAGCAATAACCTTCATCAATAAATAGACGTCATCTGGAGCTTCTGTCAGAAATTTAAAAATGTCATCTGACTCCAGGATTTTGGACTTTTTAGCTTTGTATCCTCCAATCAGGTTTTTTAGTAAGGTGGTTAACTTGCTGAATTTAGAAATATTACAATTATCATTCACCAACAACGTACGCTTCAGCATCGAATAATACGACCATAATGACGATGGCATCGCTTTCTTCGACTTTTCAGAAAAATACGCCAGAAGTATTTTTTCACTCACGCTATTGATATTCTTAATAATTTTCCACTTTTTAAAAGACTGGTATTCTTTCTCATACATCATCCTAGATTTTTGTGGCAACAATAAACTTTCTGCTTCCAACGCTGCACTTTCTACTTCTGATGGCAGGTTTTCCTTTTCTTGTGTCAAGTTTTTTCCATCCATTTCGTATTTATTCACTTTGTACACAAAACACAACAATATTCTTAGAAAAAACCAAAACGTAACATTTGTTTGACATTTGTTGACAGAGTAATTCATATCCCTAGCAACGGAGCAACACAATTGCGATTGTTGTGCTAAAAATTACAATTTTCTTTGAAATTGTATTTTTCACCTCAACTTGAAGCCTTGCTATAGACAAAAAAAATGTTGTATTGCACACGACGATAAAAACGCATTATCTTCTCGAGCATAATTAGCGTCTCGACTGACGTCTCGACGCTAAAAAACGCTCTCGAAGATAAAGTACAATTTTATCGTCTTGTACAATAAATAACTATTATTCAAATCGTCTATGAACGTTAAAAATATTGGAAATTTACCCATATACATACATAAATATTGTCGTATATCATAATAAATACTAATTTAAAAAATTTGATACCACAATGACATATTATACAGTGTTTATTTAAAAAATATGTAAATATTTGAAGGCAGATTGAACATACTTGACAAAAAATTTAATTAGAAATGAGCATAATAAAGAGGTTATCATCACCTTAAATGTCTGCAATATCGTGTCATCTAATTGACCCGAGAATACTATACTATCACAAACTGGATGTTCTTGGAAATTTGGTAGTTTACTAAAATTAACTAAAGCCACTTCGGACCCATTATTGTAACAACTAATAGTCAAACTTTCAATAATGGTAAAATATAATAATAAACAAAGAAAAGTAAAGAACATCTGGAACCTTAACATCTTGGCAAACTTAAATATCAACAACAAACACACTTTGGGTGTCTGATATAGATAAATCGTATTTGATAACGATATTTACAAAGTGTCATAACCTTTGTTAAATGTTCCTTGATTAGACAGAAGTAAAAAACAAATTCATGATATTATATTTTATAAATATACATTTTACATATGTTACTTTTAAAATAAACTAATTTATTTAAAAGATTGGGAATAAAGTTTCAAGATCAGAAAACACTATAACGATTTTTAGTTAAAATGATGCTGTTCTAAAGCTCTATTTGTAATGTTACTTTATTTTTAGTTGTTCTTCATCTGATGTATCTATTGATAAGCTCCTCATTATTAAGTTGTTTATCTTCTTTTCTTTCTGGCATACCTTCATAGTTAATTCTATTTCCTCCATTTTTTGTTTCGTGATAGCCTTTTTCAGATTTTCGTTTTCCTGTATTACCTTGTTTTTTTTGTAATTTATCTTCACTATTCTCCTTTCTGATACCTGATCCCTTTCATTTCCTCTAGTGTATTTCCCACCATATTGTTATATCCTTAATTTTCTTAGTTTTCTTTTTGTATATCGTCTACTAGTTGTCTCGTTAATTCCATCAGTTGATTCTGATTATTTAGTTCATTTGCTTTTTTATTTTACCTTATCTGGTGGTTTTTTGGTGTAGTTTTTCACTTCTGCCAAATATTTCTTCTGGTTCATCTTTTTTCTTCCTTTTTCCTTTACTATAGAGTAGCTATATTTACTGTAAATATCTATTTGTGATGGTTTTGGAACAACCTTTGTATTATTGCTCTTATATGTCTTTGAGTTGGATTGATGATTCTCGTTGCATGTTATGACATGCAATCTTGCAGACACCAGCACATCTTTTCACAATTTAAATATAATTAACTTGAATTTACAAATATTTTAAACAAACTCATTTTCATCAAATCTGACTCTATTTTTCCAAAAATTTTTAAAACTATATTTACAAAATGTTAATACCTAAACTGGACTTGTTCCGAATTCTAGACGACTCCGAAATCTAGAATTTTGATGTTGGTAAAATACACCCAATTATTCTCCCTTCAAAATGTCATCTTACAACTATCATAGCACGTTCTGAATACATTAGACTTTTAAATACCGGACCACAAGCTCTTTTATCAGCTTTGATAAAGAGATTTTGGCCTAGAGGGACGCAACCTGGTAAAACGTGTGGTTTGCGAATGCATACAATATTTTAAGGTAAATCCCAGACCTGAGTCACACCTCATGAGAAATCTTTCTGCTTCTCGTGTCACTTTCTCTCGGCCTTTTTCGATTGCTGGATTAGACTATGATGGCTCATTCCTACTACGTGATTGGAAAAGCCATCTGGCTGCTATCCTCAACAGTGGTTACGCCCTACCTTTATTCCCCTGCCCAAGAAAGTCAATGCAAAAAGATGTGAGGATCACAGATTCATTAGCCTTATGAGTCACACTTTAAAGATATTCTTAAAAATACTACATCAAATATTATACAAAAAATGTGAATGGGACATCAGTGATTCCCAGTTTGGGTTTAGGCAAGGTTTACGAACACGAGAAGCAATAGTAGCAACACAGGTGCTGGTCCGAAATTGTTACGATCAGAGGAAGGATGTGTTCCTATGCTTTTTAGATTACCAAAAAGCATTTGATCGTGTCCAACATCACAAGTTAATGCAGATTCTCAAGAAAGTTGATATAGACCAAAAAGACATAAGATGCATTAAAAACTTGTACTGGCATCAAACGGCACAGTTAAAAATAGACAATTTTATATCCAAGCCCATACATATAAGAAGAGGCGTTCGACAGGGGTGTGTGCTTTCCCCTCTTTTATTTAACATTTATTCGGAAGCCAGATTTCAAGAGTCTTTGAAGGATGCAGAGATGGGAATCAAGGTGAATGGAGTATTGATCAACAACATACGATATGCTGATGATGGTGCCTTAATTTGTGACAACATAGTCGATCTTCAACAACTTGTCACTATAATCGGAGAATACAGTAAGCGAATGGGATTAGAGATTAATACCAAAAAGACCAAATTCATGATCATCTCCAGAAACTTGGATGCACTTGAAAACTCCACCACAACACTGAATACTAAATCCATTGAAAGAGTGAGTAAATTTAAATACCTGGGATCGTGGCTTTTTGAAGACTGGGCATCGGACAGGGAAGTAAAATGTCGCATTGAGCAAGCTCCACAAGCTTTCGTAAAATTCAAGAAGGTACTGACTTGTTCAGAGTTCGATCTTCAACTGAGACTAAGGTTTACTAAGTGCTACGTATGGTCAGTGCTGCTATATGGCGTAGAGGGCTGGACACTCAAAACGAGGGATATAAACAGATTAGAAGCTTTCGAAATGTGGCTTTATCGTCGTATCCTAAAAATACCATGGACAGCGAAAATCGCAAATATAGATGTCCTTGAAAAAATAAACCAAGAACACCAACTTTTCGAAACCATCAAGAAAAGGAAAACGGCGTATCTAGGTCACTCATGCAAAATGAAAAATACCAGTTCCTCCAACTTATAATCGAGGGTAAAATTGAAGGCAAGAGAGGAATGGGACGCAAGAAAATGTCCTGGCTCCGAAACATAAGGCAATGGATAGGGATTAACGACATACAATCTCTGATACATATTGCAAAAAATAGAGAATTAATGGAAAATGTGATCGCTAACATCCATTACTGGATTTGCATCTGAAGAAGAAGATCGAAAAAGCAGAACTTTCAAAACAACTAAAGCTTACATGTCACTTTTCGTGTATTTCGCCACTAAGACTATCCACTTAGAGGTAGTCAGCGATCTTACATCTGAGTGATTCCTAGCATGTCTACATAACACAATAACATCCCAAATGGTTTGTCACAAGATGGTATTCAGTGGAAGTTTATACCTCCCAAATCCCCCATTTTGGAGGTCCTTGGGAGTCTGGAATTAAATCCACAAAACAACATTTAAAAAGGGTAATGGGAAACGTTCTATTAACTTTTGAAGAAATAAACACAGTATTGTATCAGATAGAGGCCTGTCTTAATTTTTATCCCCTTTGTCCTCTTTCACATGATCCCAATCATCTAACTCCTCTTACACCCGCACACTTTCTGATTGAAGAAAACCTGATGGCCCTACCTGATAGCCAGTTACTTAGTGTGCTATAATTATACTCTAAGAGCTTTGGTAGTTCAAAATATCATGGGATGAAACTGTACCTGCTGACTTATACACGACTTGGGCTAAATACTATACTGAATTACAAGTACTGAACTCTATCAAAATACCACAGCAAGTGTCTTGTCCAAACCCAACCTCAGTACAATATATATATATATATATATATATATATATATTATATATATATATATATTATATATATATATATATATACGTTGCTGTGATACATTGGGAAATTTTACTTCAAACTTGTACTGTGCCAAAACACACGTCGCTCCCCTCAAAACTTTATATATTCCACGTTTAGAGCTTTCTGGCGCTGTTTTACTGGCACAACTTGTTGACAACTAACTTTTGCTTGTGATTTTGACTTCGAAAACATTTCCTACTGGATTGATTCCACAATATGCCCACCATGGATCAATTCATCCCTACACATACTAAAAACCTTTGTCGCACAGAGTAGCAAACATTTAGGAACTGTCGAATGTTACTTCATGCTATTATGTAAATACTAAGGATAATCCTGCAGATTTACTAACACGTGGAATGCCACCTTTTAATTTAGTTTCCTCTAATTTCTAGTGTGATGGACCTTCCTCGTTGGTTCAAACTGAATGTCAGGGTCCAACAAACAATACGCAACAATCTACTCTAATTCTTACAGAAAAACTTCCAGAAGTTCGAAACACAAGTTGTTCCTTTATTAACACTGTAAACAAATTCGACGCCCATGTTATTGAGTAATGCAAAAATTACCGCGGCATAACCCTCCTATGTTCGGCCTACAAAATTTTTACATCCATCCTGAATAGGCGACTTCAACCATTATGTGAAAATATTATCGGCGAATACCAGACCGGTTTTCGACAAGGCAGGTCGACAATAGATCAGCTTTTTACAGTAAAGCAAATCCTTAATAAAGCTTGGGAACACGATATTGATGTTCACAATATATTTGTCGACTTCAAACAGGCTTATGACTCCATAAATAGAAGCCGGTTATATAACATCATGGAAAGCTTCAATATTCCCTCGAAATATATCCGACTAGTAAAAGCAACGATGGACTCCACAATAGCAACTGTACGCATACAGTACGAATTAACTGACAGCTTCGAAATAGTTCAAGGGCTGAAACAAGGTGATGGACTAGCTCCAACACTGTTCAATCTGGCCCTTGAATATGTCATCAGAAAGCTGAATGTCGGAAGAGCCAATCTCCTAACAAACAAATCTGTCCAGCTCGCCGCATATGCGGATGACATTAACCTCATGTCCTGCAGAGTGGATGATGCAGCAGAAACATATTCGCAGCTGAAAAAAACTGGCCAAGGAGATTGGACTTGAAATAAATACACAGAAGACAAAAATACTAACACAGACGCGGACAAAGCGAACAAGAAATCAAATCAAAGTAGAGGATGACATTGAAACAGTGAAGAGTTTTACTTATCTGGGAGTCGAAATGAATACGGAGGGAACAGAAGAGGCCGAAATTCAGAAGAGAATAATGAAGGGAAATAAAGCCTATTTTTCCCTGATTAACATATTCCGCTCCAAGACGGTACATCGAAAATTGAAACTTAAGGTCTATAAAACTATCATCAGACCGATAGTATGCTATGGATGCGAGACATGGGTTTTGACAGAAAGCACTAAACGAAGATTAGAGGTTTTCGAGAGAAAAATCCTAAGGAAGATCTTTGGACCCATCACTCAAAATGGGATGTGGAGATCTAGATATAACCATGAACTCTACCAACTGTTCAAAGAAGCACCTATTGCAGAGTTCGCTAGAGTACAAAGGCTT